CAAGAGATCGGTGAGGGGGCGGGCAATAATGGAGAACAGTTTGATAAAGTTCCGGTAATAGCCAACCAAACCCAGAAAGGCTTGCAGCTGCTTGACTGTGGTAGGTCGGGGGTAGTCGAGCACCGCCAACACCTTCCCCTCGTCCGGCCTAGATTGTCCAGGGCTTATTACATGGCCCAAAAACTTCAGCGACTGGCAGCACACCTGAACCTTGTCGGGGTTCATGGTGAGTCCTGCTGATCTGATGCGCTCCAGGACTTCTCGGACATGTGCAACATGGCTGTCCAGCGTCTCTGAATACACAAGTACATCGTCCATAAATGCCATAGCAAATTGGTGGTTGATTCCATTCAGGACTCTGTCCACCAGCGTTTGAAAGGAGGCTGGACCACCTGCAACACCAAACGGCATCCTTGTAAACTCGAAGGTGCCCTGGTGGCATATGAACGCCGTCTTCGGAATGTCGTCCTCGCGCATAGGGATTTGGAAAAAACCCTGCGAAAGGTCAAAGCTTGAGAACCACTCCGCTCTCCCGAGTTGTGCCAGCAGCCAGTCGGTTCGGGGCATTGGATACACTGGCACCCTGGTGCGTGCGTTGAGCGGCCGGTAGTCTATGGCCAGGCGAAAGCCTCCGGACTTTTTGGCCACCAGAACAGGTGCACTGGTCCACTCACTGGTGCTCCGACGCACAAGTCCCTGTTCCCGCAAGTCTTGAAGGCAACTGTCAATGATCTTTTGTTTCTTGGTATTGACGGGACGCAACTTGCAACGAACGGGTGGACTGTCTCCTGTGTCAATTCGGTGCTCAGCAAGGGAAGTGCAGCCGGGAGTTTTGGTGAAGATTGGCCCAAAGATCTCCAACAATTTCTTTATAGGAGCATACACTCCCGGTGTCTTTGCAGAGTCTCCATCGCCTTCGGTAGCACTATGGCTGAATGTGGTGGCGCAAGTTGACTCCTCTTTGAAGAGGTTCTCCAGGGAGTACGAGTATTCTTCTGCCCCAAGCTCGCTGCTTGCTTGCTTTATGGTCTTCACAAATGGAACAATGCGCTGGGGCTCTGTTCCAATTGTCCATCCCCCAAGCGCCACATGCAAGGAGATATCTGTCACTGTAAGGAAATCCCTTCCTAAAACAATGTCTCTGCAGAGGTCGGGCATACACAAAAAACGTTGTCTCCGGGAACCGGCCGCCCACCGGATCTTGCACCGAAGAGATGCAGTGGACTGGGACCATCCTGTTGCCAGTCGCAGTGTGCGCACTTCCCTTTTTCGACTGGCACCTGTGGCTTGAGCAGCTGCGATGGCCGGCGGACCCAAGAGACTGACGCTGGAGCCTGTGTCGAGCAGCGCCTTGAACGTTGATGACCCAATGGTAACGTCAAGGAGAGGCTCTTTTCCCCCGGCAGTAGTCGCCCCTTGCAGCGCTCTGTCGTAGATGCTCACCGGGACAGCATCTACCAGTGTCCGTTTCCCGGACACTGTGCTTGAAAATGGCCAGGCTGTCGGCACCTGAAGCAGAGGCCTGGACCCAAACGCCGACCCGTGGCACAGGTGCGAGCGGAGTGACCGATTCCTCCACATCTCCGGCAACGGTCGACTCCTTGTTGGCGCTGATGCCACTGAGACATCGGCCGAACTGAATCTGCAACTCCCCCTGACGTTGTGGGCCCTGAAAGCTGGTCCCTGTAGTAGGCTGGTTCGATTGCCGCAGGGTGGAGTGGCCAGCGATACGTCGACGGCATAGCGACTGTTGCAGATGACACAGCCGCTGCTAGAGCCGGTGCGAAAGTAACGGGAATTGCAGTTTCCGTCCCGGGGAAGTCGCGGTTACCTTGTGCCCGGAAAGCTAGGTCACGGGCGACCTGGTTGCTTCTTGTGGGGGGGGGGGGGGGGGGGGGGGGGCGGTTTGTACTGAAGACGCCGCCAGGCACGCTCCATGAGGCCGTCCGCTGCCTTGGCAAGCTCGCTCAAATTCGCGTACTGCGTCCCTTCCGCCAAATCCTGGAGCTGGGGATGCATTTGGCGTAGCACGCGGTCGACCTTTTCTGAGTCGGGCACCCCTTCCCCGATTCTTTCGTAAAATTCGGCGATGGTGTAAATGAATTTCTTGAGGTTCTCCTCGGGGTGTTGAGTGCGGTGTCTCAACTCGTCCTTTAGACGTCGCTTGGCGTCGATTGAGGCAAACTCGGCACGAAACGCCGTCTTGAAATCATCCCAACTGCCGAAGTTACCGATAAAACGCCACCATTATTTGGCGCTCCCATCCAGTGCAGCCGGAACGACCTGGCTGAGACGGTTTTCAGTGGTGACTCCCGTAATCAAACAAAAGTTTTCTAGCCTCTAGATAAATTCTTCGGGCGACTGTCGATCACTGAAGCCTGTGAACTTCGGCAACTGCGCCGCAATTCTCGGCAGAGGGCCGCCAGACGGGTGGACTGCAGCCGCGGTCACCTCGGGTTCGTTGGCTGGGGGCACTGCAGCAGTCAGTAGCAGTTGGCGCACTTGAACAGAAGCTCGCTCCCGATGCATCACGGATCCGTCGGTTTGTCTCAAAAGGCGGGCTATCAGTTCATCTGGCACCTCCAGGTTGTCCATCTCCGATCCCGGACGGGCCCGCACTTGTTAGGATGGAACTAGTGCCACTAGATGGAACCTTTACTGTCCGTCCTAAATCCCAGAACCTAACTGCACGTTCCCCCCGGTCCGTCCTCGTCGTCTTTCCCATTCCGTGTTTGTACTCTCGCGGCACGTGCGCGGCACGTGCGCCTGACATAGTCCTTCGCCAGACACTCCTCACAATATATATATATATATATATATATATATATATATATATATATATATATATATATATATATATATATATATATATATATATATTTTTTTTTTTTTTTTTGCCGTCGCGATTTCGAAATTTTGAGTTTTTCGGATAAATCTGAATTTACAGGAATTTAACCGAGGAGTATTTTCTGACCTTTTTGGACCGAAAACACAGAACCCTACAAGTTATAATAGCATTTGTCAGATGTTCCTGTATTCTGGTTGTGTAGTCAACTATCTAGGTCAAAGCTCGAGAGACCCGTTACATGACCCGTATGAATCAATCACAACACGTGGGCGTACCATTGCATGCTGTGCATGTACGGAGTCAGTAATTTATAATTTCTTTTCCTTATAGTCGCTTTACTGCATCACTGCGGTTACATGTGAAGGTTATTGGTTTTCTAGATTACGCCTATAAACCCTTTTATTTACAGACATGAACCGCCGCTTGCGTCCCAACCAACTTCCGTTCGCCCCGTCTTTGCAAGTCTGTCGAGCTTGCTTCTGTCACCAGTGCTAGAAAGTATACACGTTACACAGACAGCAAAGTTGGAGATTTCACGAGATCCTTCGGCTGTACAATTTAGCGTCTTAGAGGAGGCAAGTTGGTTTTCAAGAATATTCGCAAAATTTGAACATATCTCGCGCTTCTTCGTTCTTTTGACGTTCACCTGGAGAATTGGTGGTTAAACGTTTCACCGTTATTTTAATCAGCGGTGTTAAAGCGTGCTTTGTTCATTTTTTTTTTTTTATGAACCGGAAGTTCTCTCGGACGTAATAAAGCCAACCATTTCGTCGTTTACCCTGAGACTGGGGTTTTTTTTTGAAGAGCAGAAGAAACAGAAAAAACAGACAGGTCTCAAGAGACCTGTCTGTTTTTTCTGTTTCTTCTGCTCTTCAAAAAACCCCCCCAGTCTCAGGGTAAACGACGAAATGGTTGACTTCCACCAGCTAGCCTGTACTTTGACTCTTTTCTCGGTAATAAAGCCCCCCTATCCTGGGAGGAGTAACGTCGTTCATTGATGTGGAAATGCTCGAGGCACGTGCCGCGCACCACTTCTGGGAACAACATGGCGTCTGATATCTAGCTCAGTGCTACGCTGTGCCACCATGATCTTCCCAACGGCTACACGTGGCACGTGCCCGGTGCTTTGACGCACCTTGCGCTACTTTTAAATGCAAAAATACTCCAAAAGCCGGGAGACGTCAAAATTAAAAGAAGAGCACCGACTTGACATAACAGAAAAAAACTTTTAAAACATGAAGGGCCTTTAGGACGTAAAAGGCTGCAGCACCGCCTGTAGGAGAGATTGGAGCGCGAGTTTCCTGCCCTTGATAAGTCGCACGCGCAGCCGAAGCTCGGCGGTAGGCAACGAGGCTCGTGTTGGAGGCGTAGAATCTGCCGGGTTCTTACCCTTAAGATGAGACTAGAAGCTCCACCTTCAGCACGAGCTTTCTGCCCTCACTAAAGTAAATGTGAACGCGCAGGTACGCACAACCAAAGCACTCCGGAAGCTTCAGCGAGTTCTCGCGCTGAAGGCGGAGCTTTTAATCTACGATTAAAGGGGTACGGAAACGAAATACTAGAGCTTATTTATTGCTTAGGCGTATAACCCGTCGCCTCAGCACCTGAGAAACATCAGTCTTTCGTTTGTGAACGTGAGAAAAGTAATTTTAAAATTAAGAAAACGATAGCGTGGCATTCACTTGACGCCATTAAGGGTGCGCTCCTGGATGTTGAGTGAGTGCCGTTCGCGAGCGAGAGAGTGTTGTAAGTCACTGGCCGCCGTAGATATGCCGGTTGCTGCTGAGTGCTTGCTGACAGCGAACACTAATGCTTTCTCAAAATTGCACGTTCCAGGGGTTATTGTGTGGCTTGTCTCTAAACATGTGTTGTGAAAAACGGGCTCAAGTGTGGCAGTCGCAGTATCGAACATGATGATAATGCAACTGAATGCAAAGGTGTAAGCGAGCTTGTCAAAAATGACGAAAATGATCAATGGAACAAGGGGGACAAAGGAAAACAGAAATTTCCAAACACCGCTAGGTATATTGTTTGGAGATGTCGCGTCTTCGTTATCGAACATAGTTTACCTTAAACAGTAGAGTAATTAATTATCATAAATGTTAAGGTCCGCAAAATTAACTATAAAAAACAAAAAACAAACGTAGACAGAGAAGAAAATTGGCGAAACTTTAATTTACAGTCGAAAATTGAGGAACAAGTTAGTGTGCACATAAAATATCAAATTACGTACAACGAGCGAGTTTTGATAGTAAAATTTGACGTCATGCTATATTAAAAAGGGTGAGCATCGTGACATAAAGTAGTCATAAAAATAATTATATCATTCGTAGACAAAACTGGGTGAACCTAGTCCACACATATCGTGAAAAGCCCGCGACTAATCATTTGTTACTTTGTGGTTGGTTCCTAACTTAACGACTATGCTGTTTCTCTTCACATCTTCCGTGTAATATTTTCTTTTTTCTCATGACACTTAAAAGTACGATTTACGAAACGCCCAGGTTTGCCAGTTCTACGAGGCGTTTTTGGGCCTGTTTTGGGCTTAAAAAATTCGTATAATAAGCCAGGGGACAGACTGCCGTACAACTTTTCACAATGTTTTTTTTTGTTTTGTTTTGTTTTTAGTGGTGCATTAATCATGCATGCACATTGTCAAAGTCTTAAAGAATTTTTTTTTTTTTTAATGTGCGAGAGGAATGCAGTTAAACCGTCCTGTCGAGGCTGATACTCCCGTAGGGCACCGCATAATACGACTAAAAACGTTTTTATTTTTTTATATCTTTTTAAAGATAAACACGCTAATGCAGATTCAAAAGATCCAAGCGTGTGCTGTACAATATGGGAATATCAGAATCAACCCCACGGTTTGCTCCTGTTAGCCTCCAGCGCACAGGGAAAAAACACGCTTTTCTTTCCTTAAATTTTGGCCCAGAAACCCACAGTCGCGAAATTCGAGAAAGATCAATGAACCACCTAGAAACACCTTCGTGAAAAGTTCCATGGCACTCTGTTCATTGGTTTATTTATAAAAGATTTGTTTTTTTTTTACATTTCGAGAGCGCTTGAAGACACCCTAAAAAAGAAAAAAAGAAACATCATCACGCGCTGTGCGATTTAACACAGCCGAGGTATCTCGAGAGAAATATCTCCAGGGTTAGGTAGAACATCAATGAAAAAATACAACCGAAGTTGGTCATCAAAAAAGAGGAGCGAGACATGAGTGACTGGTTCCTGTCAAGTGTGCCAGTCTTAGGCAGTGACACTCAAACACACAACAATAAGGTACGATCACACAGCCGAGAAAACTGCCCTGCGATTAATGCCGCCGTTTGTTGTCACCAGCCAGAGCTTCTTTGCGGCTTTGGCTAGGGGGCATAAGCCGTCGCCTGATTAAAATGGTTCAGCCGTATCAATCAGTTCATCCGTCCTTATGCTCGTGCTTGTCGGAGATCGTACAGCGGGACCCGCCCTGTTCCTTGGCTCGTCGCTTGTGGAACTCAAGGTGCGACGCATATATACTACAGGATACGCTGTCGGCAATTCAGATACAGTTATAACTTTGAATATTTAAGCTTCGAACTAAAACATCTAGTATGTCGATCATTTTGTAAATTGTATATATAGATTGACAACACACTATCCTTTCCACGCATAGCTTTAGGAAACACATTTAATAAATAATTTACTGTATACCGGTACCAACAAACAAATGCTTACGTGTTCCTTCAGTAGCTAACCTTAGCGCAAACAGACACGTCATTCATTTTCGCAAAAACAGATGTTTGCGACAATTAAAATGCACTGCAAATTGTCATTCGCAAGTGCTAAGTAAGCAACATCCATTAAAAGAAGGTTCGATCGTCACATTATTGTAATAGCATTCAACAAACGTGACTCTGTCTTGCAGGGTATTTCACAATCGTCGTGTTGCACAGTTGAAGGATGTCTAACAATTGTGTTCCGGCACCAACAAGCAAACACTCAACGATTTCCTTCAATGGCTTACCAGGACAGTCAAACAGGACCTCAGCCACTTCACAGAAACAAATGTACAAGGTAACAAAATGTTACGTAAATTGTTCTCTGCAAGTGCACAGTATTTTGCGTCACACAAAAAGAAAGTTCGACTGTCACAACATCGGCAGAGCTCGGCGAAGGCGACCCTGTCTTACAAGTTCTTTCACGATCTTTGTTCAAAGAAGGTACTGTCTTGCTTAGCTAAAGGACGAAGGCCAAGCTCCTCCACACAATGGTACGATTCAGAGACAATTGCATCGTGACACACCTCTCGCGGGGCACATTGTTCCCTGCCGTTTCCTGAGAAACACTCCTATTTAAACAGCACATTGTCCTCAGTGCTTCACTTTACGACCTTTGTACAAGGGCAGAAACCGGCGAAGAATGAACGATTGTTTTGACTTTGCTTGGTATGTCCTGAGAACGTAGTACAGGTATGCCGCGATGCAGCTTGTACACAGTATCAACAGCACGAAGACACCGATGCTGGCTGCAAGCCCCGTCGCCGGTAAACAAACACCGTAGATTATTTCTTCATAGCGGCCGGTGTACACCATGGCATCGTCCCTGGTGACATTGGGCAGAAAGGCCAGATCAACGCCTGCTATGACCATCAGGGAACCCCGGACGCCTAACTGGTCCGATGGCCCGGCAGCGTTCCTCTTCGTCTTCAGAGACCTTGGTCCACTTGGGAAGCGTCCGCTGGACATCGAGATCGACGAATGAATAGGCTCTTTAGGAACCATGTCCGGCTCTTCCGTGGTGGTTGTTGTAGAAGGACGTGTCGCTTCAGGCTCGGGATCGACAAGGTCCAGTCGCTCTTGGAAGAAGTCGGGGTTTGTGGTGCCAGGACCAAACCGTGGTATTGGGTAAGGGTAGTAGGGCCTTGGTGGTTTGTACGATGGTGATGCCACGTATGCAGAATCCACCGCCGGGTGGGGTCTGATGGCGCTGAACTTGGCAGACGGGTTTGGACCCAGCCTAACGGTTTCAGGCTCCCGATCGGCGGCAACGGTAGGACGAGCTGGATTTGTTGCGTAAGAGAAAAATACGGGACTCGCGGAGCTGTGGACTAAGTGGGGATTCTGTTCCGCTTCATCATCAGCACCCTGAGCTACTTGGTCACTGGCGTAATCTTTTGAAAACTGAGGAAAGGGTCGTGAGGGCGGGGGAATTCTGAAGTCATTTTCCGACGTCGCCTCTGTCGTCACGGAATGTGGTACCCGCGGTGGCACGTCATACGAATGTTCCAGATTTTCTTCACTTTCTGTCGAACTTTTTTGAGGTTGAAACCCCGGCGGCGTTACGTAGACGGGTCTTATGGTATCCTGACCGGGTGGAAGAGTATGTCCTTTTATGCTGTCTGGGTAAGGCTGGTTCAGCTGAGGCAGCGCTGGAGGAGTTGGCACTGTCAGAGGTGTCACGTGCGGTACGTGAGGAAAGTTCTGCTCCGGAAGCGGCAGCGAAAATCGAGGAAGTTCTGTGACATCGCGTGTAGGGGGGCGCTCCGTGAGTGCGACTTCGTTGGATTCGTAGGAAGGACGCCTAGGCATCGGCTTCAAGTGAGGGCCCTGAGGCTGGAACGGGATGTGCAGGGCGGGTCCGTGAACATGAGCTGCGGCGAATGTCGCTTGGTGATGTTCTGGTCGGCCCAAGTGGACCCCTGGTGGAGTAGTAGGGACTGGAGAGAAGAAATATATATAAATGTAGATTTGCTAGCTGTTTTATAACTACACAATGGACGTGAATTCAGGCTCGTAGATCTTATTGTTGTAATTTCAAAGTGCTTCCCAATGCCTCATTAAAAGTTTACTGCTGTTTGAATGTTTGTGATTTTTTTTATTTGAAGCTGGTATAAGCAAGAGGTGTTAGCGCGATGGCTTTGAGGGGCCCGCCAACTGCGTGTTGCAGGTCCCCCGTTGGTGGACCAAACGGTTACGACGGCACCATGTAAAACGAAAAAGGAATGAAGGTTGATTACGGCCGCTACAGCCTAAATTAAGAACAAGCTGCAGCGGTTTTTGGATTCGAGCAAGGTGTGATACCCTTGATGTGGGCTTTGTACACATTAAAAATAATGAGTATGAAGATTTTTTCCGATGTTCTTAGTAAGAACAATGTAATCGCAACTTAAAATCTCGCTATAGACACTTTGAATTAAGCAGCGGTGCATGAGCGCCGCCATAACCGACCTCCAGTTTTGTTTCCTCTTATTCCGTTTCCTTCACTTCATTATTACCGTAAAAGACCATTGCTATTTTAGATTCTACTGCGTCCTTCCACCCATCATTGGCATTTGTGGAGGCTCGTCAATGCCCGTTCCAGAGGCCCAATATCTGGGTAAGACAAGAGAAGGTCAGCAATGGCGGCTGCAATCTGGCGCTTGTTTAAACCGTCTATAACCACGCTCCTTGCTCTGCCCGCCGAGTGACGCAGAGGAATGGAGGAAGAGAGAAAACTAGCGAAGGGTATCGTCGTCAGCGGTGTCAGGTGGCTTGCAGTTCATCTGGCTAGGGGATATGCCAACGAGATAACGTCACAAGTCTTTTGGTAGAGAACAGGCGGCAGAGAGGTTCGCCGCATTCGCTGTAGCAATTGTAGCACTTAAAAAAAAAGTTAGGTTTATGGTATTTTTTTTTTCACTGCAAACAAATTCAAGAGACAAGAAGATATAAAAGGGCGCTCCTGAGTCAGTTTATCTTGAAGTGCCCCTGCTTCCTTTTAAACCCCCAGTAGAGACGGGGAGGGTGGGGGGAATTATCCTGCCTAAGATTGAATTAACCTATTTACCAACAATACCAACAATTATGATGTCATATAACAAACCAATAAAGATTTTCATACCTCGTCAAGGTAGCTAGAATGCTTAAAAGTGTAGAATATCCCAACCACTAATAGATTACTTCAGAAAACAGAATAAAGATTCAACCCTTCTTTTTTTGTGTTGCAATCACAATGTGAAGTTCCAATGCATTTAAACATAAACGACAAACGGCATCAAACGCTCGTTTTAATTTTGTCGCCAGTACTTCTAATCTAAGCAACAAGTGGTACTCACAATGATAACCTGGCCTGGTTTCCAGCGTAATTCCCTGAACATTTGGTGGCACAGTGTGCCTCAATGGCGCATGCCGGGGGTCCGTGTTCACATAGGGACGTTGCTCGCTCTGCTCCCCGCCTCCGTCCTTGTGGGGCGGAGGAGACGGCGGTGGCTTCTCCAACTTCTTGAACTGGTTGGACTCCGCGACGTGCGGTTGCTGTTGTTGCTGAAGCTGCAGCTGAATATGATGGAGGTGCTGCTGCTGCATCTGTTGCTGCATAATTTGTTGTTGCTGCAACTGTTGCTGCTGAAGCTGCTGCATCTGGAGCTGCTGGTGTTGCAACTGTTGTTGCTGCGACTGTTGCTGCAATTGTTGTTGCTGCAAGAGTTGATGCTGCAACTGCTGCTGCTGCACCTGCTGCTGCTGCAGCTCTTGGTTTTCTACGTCGTGCTGCTTGGACTGCTCTTGCTGCAACTGCTGCTGCTGTTGCAAGAGCTCCAGGTTGGCAGGGCAGTCTTCGGGACAGCCGTGGCGACAGATCTCCACGACGCATTGGATCTGCACTTCGATGGTGTCCGGAAACTTGAAGGCGTAGAAGTGGGAGAAGGCGACGACGCTGGCCTTGCCGCTGTAGTCCCGGACCTTCATGAAGGCCGTGAGCATCTTGGGTCTGAGCACGCATCCTCTGTCGTCCGTCAGTTGGATGGGGCCCCGGAGACCGTCGTGCGCGGTGCACGACTTGACGCGCATGTCGAATTGCTTGTCCCGATCGTTGATGGCGATGACCATGGTGAGGGGGCTGCCCAGAGGCACGATGCTCGACACTTGCTTGGCCCATGGACCTTTGCCTGCAAGAAGCGAGACTGGTCATAACTTGGTGGGGTACGGCATTGCCACAATAATGAGTTGTTTTAGTCCGACCACGCTCGCCCTATAGACTTAGTTACCTGAGCGAAGACAGTACCATCCGGATGAGAACGAGCATATCCCTTTTGCTTTTATGAATGTTCTTAATTCTTTCTAGCTTTTCAAAAAAGTTAGTTTATTTCATTCGATTAGGCAATGGACAGATGAGCCCACAATTTTACTGCTTTCTGTCTTCATTCACACAGGCTGGTGCGCAATTTTTGCTTGAGTATATGGACTGAAAGGTTGTTAGCAACGGGCTACGAAAGGTGCTTACCACGTTATAAACGTTCGTTCTTTTAAATAGAGCGCGATTAATACGGGTGCCTGCAAGACCTGTTCCTGGATAACAGGCTCGTCAGGACGTTGCGTATATGCAGGGTGTTTCGTGAAAGGTGGACAAATTCAATATTGCGAAAACTACACGTCGCAACAAGAAAAGGCTTGTGTTGTTTTGGTCCTGGGGCAGGGGCCTATTTAGACAAATTATTAAACTCCGGGATAATTAGATTGCTAATTATTTTTGCGTAATTAACTTTTTTTAATATTGGGTTTAACGCATTGTTTCAATTAGAAAATTGCTCAGCATCATCGAAAAACACTAAATCAATAAATTGCCGAACGATAGAAGGCACGCGCACCATTTTACGGCTTTCTGAAGAACCGCACAAATTCAACGGGTTTTTAAGTTTCGGTTTGCAACCGGAGCGCATCTCGGCTTCGACGGCACCGCGCCCCGTGGAAAAATAGTGCAGCCAACCTCTGCTGCATTGCGCGAGGACAGCGCAGCAGAGGCTAGTATACAGATATAGATTTAAAGGTGTAATTCGGTAAGGATTAGTTCTGTACGTTCGCTTGCCTTCCTGAATCTCCATCCAGCAGCCTACGCTGTCCCCTTGGAAGTTGAGCTCCTGCACCTCGAGGTCCGCCAGCTGGATAGAAGGCGTCTTGAGGGCGGACTTCTCGTAGGCGTCGTGCCACTCGCAACGGAGCCGCTTGGCCTCGTCCCACGCCTCGATCACGTCAACGCCGTACTGGACCACGATCGTGTTCTCGTAGAAACTGCCGTGGTGGTCCGGCTGCAGCGAATCGATGTCAAGGGACAAACGCAGAAGTTAGGAAATAGGCTCTAATGGCGGTACACGAAGCACACAAAGAGGTAATACGAGATTTTACTTAGTTCAATGTTCTTGAAGTTATCTTTTCGTTTATTAGGCTGACCTCAGCACCTCGTTGGTCTCTGAATTCAGCCATGTTTTTCTTTTTTTTTTCTCGAACGCAAATTGCAAAATTAGAGGCAAAAAATAAACAAGCCGTACGATGTTGTGTTAAAAAAAATTGGGTTGTGTGGTATGTTTATACAGCCTAGAACTTGGTCTGCCTCACAGGGGCGACGAGTCTCCCAGCTGTACATGAGCAATTTAGCCAGTGCAGTACACAACCGCTAGCCTGGGGTCTTTAACGTGCACCACGCAGTAGTGATACACGACCGCACGCCGGTACGATGCTCATCCAGATCGAAACGGACAGGGGTGGGGGTCGAGCCCAGGATCCCTGGGTTCTGCAGCGCGAGCTTTCGCTCCACGTGCTCCGATCTGGTGTGCGCTAGCCCACTCGGCCACCGATCCCCCCTGATGTCGTGTTCTATTACACAACACCGTGTGTCCTCTTTCTTTTGCCCAGTCTTTGTACGCTGTACGTTTTATTCATCATGCCTTACCAACACGCCCATGACTCCATTTTGAAGAGTATCATCAGACAGGCATTTGCAAAAGTTCCGACTCGTGTTTACCGTATATATAGTTATCTGCCACTTAGCGGTTATGGCGGGTAGACTGAGTTCTGATACGTAATAAAAGAACAGAACACATTTTTTCCCCATAATATCGTGCTCCTCCAACGGCTCGTACATAACAATGAAGGCCGCAGTGGTGAAGTTTCGGCGTCACCAACCGGAGGCCAGCGCTTTGCACGGATTGGACTTGAGTACTGCATCAGCGTCCCTACCAAACACACGTCACTGAGGCAGCGACACGCGACGCCGATGCAGCTCTCGTGCATAACTTGTACCCCGCGCTGGCCTCCGACTAGTTACGAAGAAAATCCATCAGTACGGCCAAGTTATTCATTAGCTGTTGGCTCCTGCCGTGTTTTCGCCCCCACTGTGCGACAGATGTCATCTTGTCGACTCCCCGACCGCTTGCGTGCCTACCTTCGTCCCGCACCGATCGTAGAAGACGTCGAAGTGGACGGCCGTGATGCCCGAGTGCGGCTGGACGTAGACGCAGTCCTGCTGCCCGTGGTGTCCCTTGGAGAAGACGATGCCGTGGAAGGCGGAGCTGAACTGTAGCTGCACGCGCATGTGCCTCTTGCCGCACGCCACCTCGACGCCGACGAGGCGGGGCATGTCTCGAGGGGGCTCCGGCAGGCCCAGGCCGTCGCTGCCCTCCCAGGCAGCTTCGGCCCTCGTCGTCTGTGTGAACGGAGCGTAGAAATGTATAGTCGTGGCTCGCACGGACGACCCCTGGAGCAAAAGGTCGTCCGCTTCTTGCGCGGGGGTTGCGGTGACGTCAGAACGCCGATCTTTGGTTGTCTCTGATTGGTAGGATAGGGGGTAGACCTCAATGCTAGATGCCTCGAGGCCTACCCACTATCCTTCCGATCGGAGCCAATCAGAGCTCGGCGTTCTGACGTCATCGCAACCCCTGCGCAGGAAGCAGACGAACTTGCGTTCCGCATAGAGAGCGCCGATCATACAAAAGACAGCCTGCAGACACTGTCTGAGACCTCCCTCGTGTGGCGGTCACATTGGTCATACAAAAACTCCGCAGAAATGTTTGTAGCACGCATATATATAAAACCAAACATGATTGAGGGTTGTCCGCAGATAGTTCTGCCATCATGTCTGCAGAGCGTGTCTTTTGTACGATGTATGAGCACTGTGACGGCGGCTCGAGCATCTTATTATCGCTGCGCAGCCATTGAGGCTGTGGTATATGGCAGACAAGAAGGCCGTGCAGCGAATCAAGAAGCATAACTGGTCACGCCCTGCGTTTCTCAAGCTGTCAGACTACTGTCGAGACCGGTTATAACGAATTCAACGAGAATCGGAAATCACTTCAATATATCCGCTATTTCGTTATAACAGACTTCGGTTATAACGAAGTGCAAAAGGGAATGGGAAATCGTGATCGCTTCGCTCTAGCCGCTATTTCGTTATAACCGATGTTGGTTATAACGTAGTGCGAAAGGGAATGGAAAATCGTGATCGCTTCGCTGTAGCCGCTATTTCGTTATAACCGACTTCGGTTATAACGTAGCGCAAAAGGGAATGAGAAATCGTGATCGCTTCGCTCTAGCCGCTATTTCGTTATAACCGACTTCGGTTATAACGTAGCGCAAAAGGGAATGAGAAATCGTGATCGCTTCGCTCTAGCCGCTATTTCGTTATAACCGACTTCGGTTATAACGTAGTGCAAAAGGGAATGGGAAATCGTGATCGCTTCGCTCTAGCCGCTATTTCGTTATAACCGACTTCGGTTATAACGTAGTGCAAAAGGGAATGAGAAATCGTGATCGCTTCGCTCTAGCCGCTATTTCGTTATAACCGATGTTGGTTATAACGTAGTGCAAAAGGGAATGGAAAATCGTGATCGCTTCGCTCTAGCCGCTATTTCGTTATAACCGACTTCGGTTATAACGTAGCGCAAAAGGGAATGAGAAATCGTGACCGCTTCGCTCTAGCCGCTATTTCGTTATAACCGACTTCGGTTATAACGTAGCGTAAAAGGGAATGAGAAATCGTGATCGCTTCGCTCTAGCCGCTATTTCGTTATAACCGACTTCGGTTATAACGTAGTGATAAAGGGAATGGGAAATCGTGATCGCTTCGCTGTAGCCGCTATTTCGTTATAACCGACTTCGGTTATAACGTAGTGCAAAAGGGAATGGGAAATCGTGATCGCTTCGCTCTAGCCGCTATTTCGTTATAACCGACTTCGGTTATATTATAGTGCAAAAGGGAATGGGAAATCGTGATCGCTTCGCTGTAGCCGCTATTTCGTTATAACCGACATTGTTATAATTGATTGCGACAGTACTTTAAAAAAAAATGCCTGCGCGTCTTCGTTCCCACCGAGCACATGGTGGGCCAGTCACTGCGGTCTACAAAGCGCATCCAGCGATGACGAGGCCTGAACGGCGTTGATGCCTCAAAATACGTGTATAGAAAATAAGCGATACGTTCCGCTGCCTTATTGTCCCTACGTCCGCAGAGAGCTATGTTCTCCAGTCACCGGCGAAATTTGCACTCCACCATTTGCTGGATGCTTCCGGCGTAACTTCGCAGTGATTGGCTTTGCTTTTTGTGTCTGCTGCAATACACTAGACGCACGGGATCGTTTTACGCCGTCGGTGTTCCTTACTTAGCGCTAGCGTCAAATTAGCCGTCCTATAAAGACTGCACACTCACAGTCAAAGCCAATGAAATGATGTTACACACAGTCGCCCTGTTATGAAAAATACCAAGATTGTAACGGGTATCATACCCGTTACAATCATGCCGTGAAAGATTTCGGTTTACGGGATCAGGAAACGTTCTCCTAAAAAATCGCAACATAAGAACCTGAATTAGGACACTCTAGCGAAACGTATACCCCAAGTTAATACAATGACAGTGTGGAGTTTGAAGTTTTGAACAATACTAATCTTATGTACAGTGCGGCTCAAACTTAACGCCGCCACGGCATTCGCCGTTTCTGACAGTCCCTGCGGCGGTCGATTGATCTATTTGAAAACTGTTTGGGTTTCCGATTCCTATCTCATCCTGAGAAGGCATCTCAAACGTTTTGGTGGCAAGTTTAACAGTAAGGAGCCGACACAAGCTGAATGTTTGGGAACCCAGTGGCGGTGTTGAGGTTGGGGTGCACTGCACGGCTAGTATATATGTCTAGACTTCTCAACCACAGTGATCAGGGTAACATTTGCATACTTTAGGGTGTTTCTCGGTGAGTGCATATTAAAGTGCTTGTTTTGTACGTTAAAAATACCCGTTGGAAGTTTCCCCACCAACCAGGCACGTAGCCAGGATTTTGTTTCGGGTGGGGCCCGCCCATGACAAAATGCTGTATGAGGGGGAGGGGGGAGAGGAGGTTCCAGCAAAATGGAAGATTTCGAGGGGGGGGGGGGGGGGGGGGGGCGGGCCCCATGGGCCTCCCCCCTGGCTACGTGCCTGCCACCAGCATTGTATTACAGCGCATTCACTGTATTCGTTAACAGGTAGAAGGTTCAGACGAAGCTCCTCTCCCCTCTCTCCACTTTAGTAGTGTGAACGCTGGAGAGGAGGTCGCTTTCTCGAAATCGTTTCTAAAGTGGCAAGGAGTAGCTTCCCCTGAACCCTTAATCAGTCACTGACTATAGACCACATCATCATTCATTAGCCACCGTTTACAAAGACCACAACCTTGTACAACCCCGCACCGACCAGCTAAGGTTATCTAAAGACTTTCCGTCAAAGAAAATACAAAGAAAATAATATACATAGGTGCTCCTGATACTGACTCTGGGAGCGATTAGGAAGCCGACAAAAACCGCGATAAGATACCCGTGCGGCGGCAATGAAACGCCCGCCACGCGGATGTCCGTCGGGCGTCGCTCTCCGACGGCTTTCCGGAAGCCACGGCGTCTTCGGGGTAACGTTCCCTATGATAGTCACGTCCGTGCATTACACCGCCGCCGCCGGACCCGAAAGCGGAGCTGGTGTACGACTGTGCTACGTGGCGGCGTAGACAGGGCCAGGGAATGTCCGTGCCAGGCCAACGCCACCTATAGGAGACAAGGCCTGAGCCTCCCTTCCCTCCGACGTCATCACTAGTGGAACCACGCAGCGCCGCTATAGCTTGCGTTGGCATCGTCGTCAGCGGCAGACTGTACGTAGCGCGTGGTTCACACACTTGCGTGTGTTCGACTCGTTACTCGTGTGCTAGCTACTTGTTTTCGGTAACGAAGTAACAACGCGCTTGGCACTTGCTCTCTAAGAGAAGCCACGAGTAACGTGTTTTCGTTATTTTTTGATGAATTAACGAGTAAGGGTATTTTGTTACTTGTGGAGGGGAACAACGTAGGTACCCAACCCAGTTCTTAACCCAGCTCGCGCCTGCACAGCGATAAAAAAGCTAGATAGACGATAAAGAAAAGATGTGCACAACGTACGTCAGGTGTCCGGCCAAATTGTCGAAGGCCAATTCGTCGATCGACTTGCCCGATTCCAACTCGTCGAATAGGACGACTTGTCCTAAGTTCATTTGCAGAAAAGGCAACTCGTAGAAAAAGGAAGCCTGTTGCCTTTTTATTGCACGTCGCCGTTCCTTGCTTTCTGTTTTTCGCCCTCGAGTTTATTTTGTTTCCTTTGTACGAATTGTGTGCCAGAGAACACTAGCGCAATTGGAGTGGGGAAATTCCTAAGTACCATTCTCGAAACACTTGGATCATGGGGTTTTCCCCCTCTCCTCTTACTTCTAAGATAATAGTTTGAGGAGTTTCGGTGTTAACTTCTTGTCATCCTAAGGTGCTCCGGTACGCAGATTGGAGCTCATATCGTCACTTTGAAGCACTAATTCAACACGCGCCCGTGGGGCTGTCAATCTAAAAAACGGATGTAGAATAACAGTTCGGCAAAATGACGCAACGCACAGGGCCACTTGTCAGGGTTGTCCGTGTTGCACCGGATTAATATCCTTCATGCGTGCACCAGCTTGAGCTAGCCTTCACTTATTTGCACAGTACCTGCGCCGGCCAAGAAGCGTTATTGAATAATAGTACTTAATTAAAGAAGGGGAAAACTTAATAATTTGTCCTACAGATCAATGATTCAACAGACATTCAGCAGAGCGAACCATGGTTATACAAAGTGTAGCCCACGTTATTTCGTCATATACTATGATATATTCGTGTTCGGATACAGAAGCTAACTGCAATGATAAAAGAGTGACGAAAAGATGGCCGTCTTGGACGAACTGCCCATCGACCAGTTGCCCTATGACGAGTTAGCCTATTCGACGAGTTGTCCTTCAACGAGTTGGCTTTCGACCAGTTTACCTAGACTCGGTACGGCAGTGTACCCCCATGTTATCCCCGAATGTACGCGTTAAAAAGCGAGGAGGTATTAGCAACGACAAATATTGGAAGCGTCCACTGGTACAAGGTACAGGCTGAAGTAACGCGTTCCGTTTGAATCGCAGTAACGAGTAACGTACAAGTTACTTTCTGAGAAAGTAACCAGTAACAATATTTATAGTTACTTTATTTTAGCAATGCACGCATGCCTGGCTCAGCGCGTCTCGCAGCCCTTCACACCGAGCGCTGGCGGCGACGCCAAGAAGAGCGCGTCTGCCACTTAGCGGCGTCTCTCGTGGAGCTTCAGCGTGTTTTCCGCTCGGGGTGGGTCAGGGGTCCACTACCGATGACGTCATGCAGAGGCCTTGTCTTTTAGGAGGAATGGGTCCGGCGGAGCAAGAAGCAGGAAGAAAATGACATCGCGCGGTGCTGCTATCAGATTAGCGGCTGGCGAGGTCCTCTTCTGGCGGCGCGAGCGGCGGATGCTTCTTCGGCGCAGACGTCCGCTCTTGTTTCAAGGTCACCACGTTTTGAGGTCGTCACGCAGCCTTGCACTCGTCGCGGCTGTGAGGGGGGCATTCTCTCATGATGCGCGGAGGTTTTTGAATGAGACACAGGAATCGCTGGAATGCGCGCAGGCGTAGGCCGCCGCCAGGGACGTTATACGAGGAATGAATGGTGCTATGGAACACGCTTCCCCCGGGGAAGTCCTTTGTTGCTGCTGTCGGAATAATCTGGTTAGCGCGCATCGCTATGCGGTGATGCGTGTTCGCAAAGTTTACGAGGTTTTCTACCCCCTCTCTCACCCCCCCCCCCCCCCCCCCCCCCGCCCCTCTTTTCTTTTTTTTGCCTGGCTTTGTAGGGGAATGGTCTTTTGAATCCCAGCTAAGTGTGGTACCTGGAGAGGTTGTCTTTATATTTACGTTTTTTATAGTAAAAAAAGAACGGAGTTGGGATGATCATACTTAAAATTTAAAGAATAAAAACACGAGAGACGAGGACGAGACAACCACTCCCTTTCACATGAAAGAAACTTGTCTCGTCCTCGTCCTTCGTTTTTATTATTTCAATTTTAAATATCTACATTTCAACACGCTCGCCTTAATCAATAAAATGATCAGGTACGACACGACACGTGTCGTACCGAATTCGTTGTACGGCTCGACAAAAAAAAAAAAAAAAAAAAAAAAAGTTCAGGTACAGAGGGGGGAAAAAAAAGATATGACAAAAGTCATTACAGAAGGAAGGGTGATTTCACAGCTGAGCTGATGAGCGATGATATTGAAAAGACCCCGATACGACGGGGCACGAAAAAAGTAACAAATGTTTGAGACGGTGTTGTGTTTGTCCCTTTCTTGTGTCCCTCGCCTCCGAGGTTTTTCAGAATGAACGAAAGTAATATTCGTGGCCTAGTTGTTTAGACACGCAGCGCTAACCGCTCATTCACACTGGAAGCGGATCCGCGTTCGCAAAGCGGTTGCGAACGCGGTTGTATAAAGATCCAGTGCAATTGCACGCGCACTCGATGACACCAAGTGCGCGTGCAATATTGTACTGAGTCTTTATACAACCGCGTTCCCAACCGCTTTGCGAACGCGGATCCGCTTCCAGTGTGAATGAGCGGTAAGTTGGACCGCCCGTGTCTCTTCTGTGGAAAGGTAACTGGTAGAAATTTGCCAGTAGAAAAAAAAAAAAAAGTTTCACGTGCCGTAGTATGGAAGGAGGCGCACGTGATGCACGCTGAAGATCCCATGTTTGCAGGTGTATCCTCGTAATGCACCGATCTAACTGCTCCTGTACGGCAATAAACAAGCGTCGCCATCTGAAGGGGAGACCGACCTAGCTGCTCTTCTCGTATAAACATCCACAGCGTTCAACATGTTTCGCTTTGCCATACAGACGGTCACGTCCGTAAACCAGACGCGAACATACCCACGTGCGGTACCTTTCCCGGATCACGTCGGTAGACGGCCGGTATGCACACAACATAACCGACGAGACATTAGCCAAGCAATATTCTTCGAGAAGCGATTGTTTTACGGCGTCGTTGGAAAAGGCCGAAACGTAGTTTTCCGACCACCCGCATCGACTAAGCAGCTCGGAAGAATAGAGAGAACATGGGAAGTCGACTTATTTATGGCATCGTTCGGCCCAAGCTTGACCACGCTTGGTGAGGAGCTTTCGAAGAGGCCGAAGGCTCCATCTGAGTGATGCAACACACCGTTAGCCTTTTGAGGTTCTTGTGGTCAAAAGTGTACGCCCACCGACTCGCTCACGATTAATGCCGATATCCTGCATTGGCGTTGCCGTCGACATCGCTGCATCTCTGCCGTGCGCACCTGGACAGCGAGTTATAATCGTTTATGTTTACTTCTTTTAGGGTTTTAAATTTCCAGTTTTGAAGGATGCAACGCCAATACAACCCCGCGGTGCCTGCGATGCTACGATACAAAGGTTAGAGTGGCATACGTTGCCTGCGTTGCGTCTTCGTCAAAATTGAGCCAGAACATTAATTCGCTTTTCTGATTCTTTTTACTGACGCACAAACTGAATCGGTTGCATATCTGGGCGTATTTCTTGCTACGTTCGTGTAACTAAGCCGGAATGTCTTCTAGCACTAGGAAATAGGGAGGTCTGGAATGTTATGAGTATGGGTGTATCTTCATTCCTCGCCTTATTTTAATATGACAAAGAGAGAGAAGAAAGTTCGGTAGACGAAAGCAACGCGAATTTCAAGATTCACCGTCGTCTTAGCGCTGTTACCTGCACGTGACAGAGGGACACATTCCTTCAATGTCCACTTCAATTCAGATCAAAGTGAATCCCCGAACCGTCACACTTCTTTTCAGTATAAAGATTCCTCATAACACATCTTTAGTGTTAATCCTCATAATACCGAAGATGTATTATGAGGAGGCTGCAAACTCCTACATTTTGAGTTACTATCAAACTTAGCTAGTTACCTTCAAAATGGACGCCAGTAGCGTGACATGGCAGAGCACGAACGTCCTCCACCGCATGTCGGCGATGCCCTCAGCTTCAACCCGGGGAGCACCTAGAGCAAAAAAGATAAACAAAAAGTATTAAAAAGGATGCACAACGGAACCGTAAACAATTCTAGCTCCATGTCAGGTCTAGTCGGAGGCATGAGGCTGTTTCGAGGCGCCATTAGGCGCGGTTAATGAAGAATATCAAAGAGAGTCGCACAAACCATTTTTGTGACAATATGAGACTCTATTAGTGTGCTCGTTTTAATCTTTAGAAATTAGCGTGCAACGGAACCATCGGCACTCAGCACAACGTTCGACCACCTGTCCTTGAGCAAGGTATAGTCGGCCTTATCGGGAATAATTTCAGCAGAACTTAAACAAGCGGAAATTTAAATATGAAGGGACGTCACAACTCAGGAAGACTTACAAAAAATATCATCATGCGACGAGTGTGCCGAAAACGTGTGGAATCCCATTTCTCCAACAACCCAGCCTCCTTAAAGGAGCGATGCAACAATATTTGTACTTTGCGCAAATACCGCTTAAAACGGATCCCTAACGTTAATGACCTATGAAACACGCGTTCGTTTTTCAACCCACGCAATAGAAGTCCAAGAAAAAAATTAAGAAAAACGAGCAGCGTTCACCCCCTCAACTCGCAGCCAGAACAAGCGGCCACGTGATCTGGAGCCGATTATATGCCGCCAGTGTTGATCATAGCCACGCGCTGGGGTTGGCAAAGCGCAGGACACGCGCTGAGTTCCAGACATTGTTATGGCTCGGCTGTTGCCGTCGTTGCAGCGATTGGACACGGGTCACAACCCGAATGCTACTCGAGCTAGCAATTGTCACGAGCCCAAGTCGAGTGCCCACGCAATGCTCGGGTCCAATCTATGAACCGCATTCAAATATCGTCACTTGGGTGTACTGCGATCCCCGAGTTACGTCATCAAATTTTGCAAAGGAGAGATTGAATGAAAATGATCGCTTTTGTGCTTGAAATTACACCGCAACAAAGGAGTTTTTTGGCCAATGGCGTTGCGTGTGACTATCCTTGAGTCCCAGGTGTGCCAGTAAGCTCGTGTAGAGTGAAAAACATTCCAATTGAATATCGTTGCACAGCTCCTTTAACCAACTGAGGCGTTCACGTATTACAGCATTTGTGCATTTTCTTTCTGAAACTTGAGGTCATCAGATTTATTTGTTTTGTTCCAACATGAACGCTGGAAAACCGTCAAGTTGTACGGATCACCTGCGGACTACGTTTAGTGCGTCTTCAAGTTCAAACGGCCGCCTGATCGTTCGAAATTGTCGCCTGCTCTTTCAAACGTCTCTGCTTGTCGGCTAAAAATTTCATTGCCTCTACGCCTTATATACCCCTCCCCCGAACATCGCACCACAATGGATGATCACCGAACCACAAACAATACACGGTTTTGCGGTTTGCCGTTTGGTGTATTCTGGTTCTGGTGTGTCGTTTGTGGTTCGGTGATCATCCGTTGTGGTGGTGGCGACGTTCGGGGGAGGGGTATACACGAATTCATCTCTGTTACGTCACGGCGCGGTGGTGGCGCGTCGGGCGCACTTCCGGTCTGGGGCTGTGGGCGGAAGTCCCAATGTGAGACGTGTATTCCTGCGTTGTTTTGAAAGGAACCAGACAATTAAAATCCTGCCTTCTCGTCAAAACGCCGCGACTGGGGCTGCACCAAAAAAGTGGAGAAAGGTGTGAAGGTCAGTTTTCATGTGCTCGATTCGTCCGAGAACGTGGATATGTGCCGTGCAAAGGGAAAACCAGACGCCGTCGAACCACGACTGCTTGGGCGGGAAGCGCTTTGGGTTGAATTCACGGATACTTGTGGTCGTCAGATTTATTTGTTTTGTTCCAACATGAATGCCAGAAAACCGTCAAGTGTTGCAGACCACCTTCGGACTACGTTCAGTGCGTCTTCAAGTTCAACGGCCGCCTAATCGTTCGAATTGTCGTCTGTTCTTCCAAACGTCTCTACTTGTTGTCTGCTCTTTTAGACGACACCGGCCCATAGATCAAATTTTGACTTGGTACTTGCGATAAGAAGTAAGTGCAGGCCTCAAAAGACTTAAGTTTGAAGGTTGGTAAGCAGGCTCGATGTAAACAGTAGATACGAGATGTTGATCATCGTTACCAGTGGTCATCACCGACTTGTTATGCCTGATTCACTTGGGCTGATTATGCTTGCGATTTTCAGTATCGACGTCGACCATCTCAGCTACGGTTCACGCTTTTGCAGCCCGAGCGACGTCGCGACTGAAATTTGCGAGTGAAATCTCATCACGCGAATCAGGCTTCAGCGTACACTCTGCGGCGTCCACGCGGAACGAATTTCCGCATGTCACATTAGGAAGTTGTAGTAGACCGTTTCCGCAGCCCGCTAAGCACTCGGATAGCGCGCCGTGATCAGCCATGAGACCTTGAACAATGCAGACAAGGCTGGCGGTGCGCATGCCCAGCTGCGACGATTTCTTTACGGATACCGTAGCGGAGGAGAAAAACGGTCTACTGCAACTCCCTATTATTCACGCGAAGTTTTGCGGTGTAGCGAGCCTCGGTAATTTCCCCAAGGCCGCTAAAATAGTCAGACATCGTCAGGAAGACGTAGAATCAACAATTCGAAAGCGAAAAAGGGGCAGGGGGACTCACAGCAACGCCGACAACATCGCATTTCAATGGTTTGTTTATGGGCGACGGCGAGCTTCTTACCCACACTCCATCGTGCATGCGTGGCGCCGGTGGCGTACGCTAGGGGCGCTCTAGTTTGTTTGTAAACATGAGTTGGTGTATATGCAATACGAAGGGCGACTGAGGGAGAGGAGGAGATGACGTGGACGTCAGAGGAGCGTCGAGCTCTGATTGGAATGATTAGTGGGTACACAGGCTACCTGCCTTTGTCGCTCTATACTCACTCCTTGAACGCAAGACACTGCACGAGGAGCAGACGATGCTCTTTGTCGCTGTGATTGGAGGAAGACGGTGGGTACAGACAAAGGCAGGTAGCCATTGCTTCATCCACTAATTCCTCCAATCAGAGATCGATGCTGTGACGCCCACCCATCTAGTCATCTGCCTCGGCTTCTCTTCGCATAGATGGACCAACAGGCTGTTTACAAACGAGCCAGCGTTTGCCCACACCACCCGGTGTGGGCGTTGCGCGCACGCAGAAATCGAGAAAGTGAAGCTTCTGCGCATGCGCCTTTCCGACTGCAGCGCCACCACAGCGCCGTGGAGTCACAGTCGTGTGCTGGTGTACACAAAGGTGTATACGTGTGTCTGCACATATACAGTGATGGCTGTAAGGCCAGGTTCTGCGGAACGCTGGAGACGGGTGCGAAAGAGGCAGGGGTAGACACAATGAGGTAGCCGCCGCCGATCCGTCAAGAAGCGGTGCGAGAGGCGCCACCGGGCGGTTATTCATCTCGGTCATCAACGTCGGACGGCGCCGGTTGTACACGAAGAACGACTCCATCAGTCGTCTAATACACCCTACACGCGCCGACCCCGATCGCCCCCCTCGAAGGGGACGGGCACAAAAAGGACCATCCGGCATGTTGGGTAAGAAGCTGTCACGCCAAAAACAGAAAAAAAAAAAAAAAGTGAGGCGCAGCGATAAAGCGAGACAATGCCGGCAGACAAAAAAGAAAACAAAAACGCGATAAAGGATAAGTTTGAACCGTTCCACACGCATATGCGTTGCAAAGCAGCGCGTTAATACAGAACGGCCGAGTGCGAAACTCACGAGCTCAGAATCCGTCAAAAGAGTTTCAGACACGCGAGAAAACATCGTGCAACAAGGTAACCACCCACACATCCGTGGCTCTTTCTTTTCTTTTTTCTTCTTTGTACCCCATCAACATCGGAACCTTTATTTAAAATGTAAATAAAATAGAAGAATGAAGAGATTAAGAATGGATTCAGCTTGCATCATCATGGAACCGACAGCTGAGCGAAGACTTCACGGCCATAAACGGCGGAATGAAGGTGTTCCTGCATCGTGAGATGAAGCGAACTCCAGACGCACGCACGCTTCGAAAAAAAGAAAAAAGCGGCGTGAGGATGAAGGAGTGAGCGTGTATGAACCCGGCGGAGCGCAAGGAGCGGGCCGGCATGCCGTTGGGGGACCATCAGAGGGGGTTCCACGAAGGCGCCTTCATCGCAGACGGCGTGGTCGCGGGGGGCTCTCCGTGTCCCTCTTGGCTGCTGCGTCGGTCCGTGGGTGCATTACGTTTCCGGGTACACGAGTCGGACGTCACGAGTTCGACAGGGCTTCCCTCGGTTGTCCGTCCGACACAAAGCTTTCGAATGCGTAGAAACGTGCGGAAACGGGCACGTTCAAACTCGGCGGTCAATGAGGCTAATTGGTTGCTTATATTTAAATAAACGGCACGAAAGTACAATAACTCGACTCCGTCTCACATTGACTCCAGCCGCAACCGATGCTGAGTTCCGATGGAGCCTATCAAAAGCAGCCCCAAAAGAGCATCGTCACGGTGATTATCACCTTTGTGGGTTTGCGAGCACCGACCAGTTAGACACAGTGAATGCGTCGCGATCCTGCCCACTTTTTTGTGCCTGATTGGTTTAGTCGGTTAGAGCCACGGAGGTAGGAATACGAACAGGCGACCTGCCGGCTCAAGCCAGCCAATCGAGAAAATCCGGAGTGAAGCCGGAAGTAGAGCTCGAGCTCGGTGGGAGCGCCCCCAAGGCTGCCCAATTCTGTCCAATAGCGTCTTTTGGTTTTGATCATCGTTGGGTACGTGTCTTTTCAAACCGGAAGTCTCCCCCGGCTTCAACTCTGGTGTCGTCATGCCGCCTCCAGAAGCTTTCTTGGCGTTGTTTGACTGAATCCATCAGATCCTAACGTTGATGCGGTCCTGTCTGCTCACATTCTACTAGTTCTTGTGTTTACGCTGTGTTTATTTCAATATCAACAGTCAATGTCAGTATTTTCGTCCAATATATGCTCTGCCATCTGGTAGACGAGAAAATCAACTGCCGGTAACGTGCCTTGAACAGTAAGCCCTAAAAGCGTGT